CAGTGATTATTGATTAATTAGCATGTTATGATGAATCTGGCAAATAAGAAATGCAGGATGCTAGTTTTGTATGCATGTATGTATTCATTCATTCATTCATGTATTTATTCATTTATTTATTCATGCCTTTATTTATGTATTTATTTATCCCTTTAATGTCTTCATTAAGACATAACTAACATGCTGCATGATGTTGCTTTAATTGATCTAAACCCAAATACTGAGTGGTCATTCAAAATATATACTTACAAAGCCAAAGACGCTCTCGAGATGTGGCTCTTAAAAGAGCCTTTGTGGTGTATGTAGCTGCTGTAGACACAAGCAAAAGAGAGACAAAGAACAACAAATATGAGTGAGATATGTCTGTACAAATTAAAATGTTTTCAGTTTCATCAGTGATTATTGATTAATTAGCATGTTATGATAAATCTGGCAAATATGAAATGCCGGTTGACTGCTACTATTTTCACCTACAACAATCAGACGGCAATCGACACTGGAAAAAAAGAGAGAAGATAATAATTATTTGCATGGTAGTCTATAAATTCCCAAAGTTTATAAAGGCTCTGATGAATATGTGTATTATCCGATAATGCAAGATGAGAAGAATGCAGAGCAATGTATTTGATGAGACCTTACAGCCCACTAACAAATAAGCCACAGTAAAATGCGTTTTCATTCTTGAGAATCACAACAACAACAAGTATTATTATGGTTGTTACAAAATGAGGGATGACCGATTTCATCTAACGTTAATCTATAAAGGTGTCGAGGCTTATGAGTCTCGTCTCTCTCTCTCTCGGTGCACGCGCCAGCGTGTGTGTGAGAGAAAGCTCACGCGCTTGCAGTCAAACCTGTGACAACGCACTACTTCCCATACAAATATGAATAATGAAGATATTAAGAATAATTGTATAATTGGTCTCTTTTTAAAGTAACGTTAACATGACCGATAACTCTGAAACGAAAGAGCGTCTCTCAAACGGACCGGATTGGCTCCATTAGCAGTGACGTCACACCGATGTAACGGCATTTAACGGTGTTTAACGGCGCTGCTAAGCGGACTGTATATAAAAAGACGGAAAATCGTTGTCTGTGTGAGATGTGATACATTTACCGGAAAGGACAAATTTAGAAAAGTCCCATTGTTATTAAATGTAATTGGTTTCATGAGTGAAAACGCCTGCTATTTATTTTAGTATTATAACCCTCAGAAAAACGAACTGTTCCCTCAGACTGTTTGTTATTATAATTACTTATTATAATTACATTTTATTTCTTTCTTCATAGTTTTAAATGTCATTTACTTTTGTTGTCGGCCCATACTTTTAAAAAGTAATTTAACTAAATTGGTTAAGTAAAAAGTAATTTACCTGAGGAAAACGCACTGCTGGGAAATGTCATCAAAGGGGAGTCAGGCTGTGCGCGCGGTGGGCACAGACCCCGGCTTATATATGCCCGCTGCCCGGTTTCGCGGGCTTGGCACGCGAGTAAGAATTTAAGCATTGAGAGAAAAGTTTTATTTATTTATTATTATTATTATTATTTTTAATGTACAATTAGGCCTATATAATGACACACTGCGTTAACTTGGCATTAAACGTAAAAAAAACATAGGGTTTTCAAATAGTGTGGTGTTTGTGTTTTCCTACTAAATTCAAAGCAATGGTGTTACCAAAAATATAAGTCATATCATTTTTTTACTACTTTCTTTTCCTCCCAGTTTGAGAGTCCCTCTTTGTTAAATATAATTGAGCAACCCCATAGGTGGCGATGTATGCACGCGAGTCGCCAATAAGCCAATGGATGAAGAAGTAGTCAGTCACGCTGAACGCGATCCTCCTTCAAGACTGCTAGAAGGCTACAGGCAGGTGAGTCATATCGGGGTTGTATCAAATCTCTGCAGGAAAGTGGCCTGGAAGGGCCAAGTAATTATTAATTTATATATTTTTTGTTTTATAATAATTAAATAAATTTAAATGTATGCAATAGTATAAATCCATTAAATTCCAAACCCATGTGACCTAAAGACATCAAAGCATGTGCAAATTATTAAGAAAGTTATTCACTAAGCCTTGTGCAATATAGAGAATATTATTAATAATAATAATACTATTTATTGCCTTTTGCTATGGAAGGGAAATGTTCTTGAATATTTCTTAATGAAGACAAAGGGACAATTCTTTAAAAATAAATAAAAACTAGCATCCTGCATCTCTGATTTGCCAGATTCATCATAACATGCATATAAATAAATAAAAAGACGCTCTCAAGATATAGCTCTTAAAAGAACCTTTGTGTGTGATAATGTCATATAGTTATAAATTCCTTTGAGTTATAGGGATTAAACTAATAAACTACTTTGACTAGTGACTTTACCATTTGTTTTAATAATGTTTATTTACAGTGCAATTTATTCTGCTTACCTGACTCGTGCAGAAATTGTCCTGATGTTTGGCTGTGGTCCCTCCATCATCCACTCTTCGGCAACCGGTCTTTGTATGGAGGCCACCATGTTCTATACAGATCTAGTTGTCTCTTCTCCCACAAACTCCACTTTCAGGTATGTTTTTTTCTTTGTTGTTGTTTTTTGTTGTTGTTGTTTTTTCAACAAAGTTGACTATTTTTGTATGCCAAAACCTAGGGCTGCACGATATTGAAAAAAATTGCATTATACGATTGCGATAACTTGTTAAATAATTCAATATTTGATATGCAATAATGCTTAAAGGGGTCATATGATGCGATTTCAACTTTTCTCTTTGGAGTGTTACAAGCTCTTGGTGCATAAAGAAGATCTGTAAAGTTGCAAAGACTAAAGTCTCAAATCCAAAGAGATATTCTTTATAAAAGTTAAGAGTCAGCCACGCCTACCTAAAACGGCTCGTTCTAACATGCCCCCACATGTCTACGTCACTATGTGGGAAGATTTGCATAACACCGCCCAAATGTTCACGCAAAGAAAGAAGGCGTAACTTTTATTCTCGCTGTAGTATTGTTGTGGCCGCCATGTCGTGAAGACACTGTGTGTTTTGTTGTGAAAGTGAAACTACTTTTGGCCTTCCAAAAGAGGACGATATCCGCTTCGTCATGCCTAGAGCTGATCCGTGCTGGTTGCTGAGGAAATGCAACAACTTCACACTGTGGATCGCAGGATCGGCTTTCACCGTGGACGAAGCGGCATGTGCTTGCCGCGTGCTCTGATTGGCCAGCTGTCCAGTGCATTGTGATTGGCCGAATACCTCAAGTGTGTGACGGAAATGTTACGCCCCTCACCATACTGTGATGCCCTGTCCGGCCGGAGCGACGAGACAAAAACATGACAACCCATTATAAACGAGGCATTTGTTGCATCAAGTGGGGACATAATTATGGATTATAATGACTTATACTGTCTTTTTACGCGTTGCATTGCATCGCGCCGTGTAAACATAAAACCATGTCTGCATTTGTGATCGGAGAAATTACAAACAACAAGCCTTACTCTACACTGCCCAAAAAACTTGCTTTAAATATATAAAATATAAAAAAAACTTACTTGCAGTCTTTGAGTCAGAACAGCCAACAAAGTAGTTTCACTTTCACAACGAAACACAGCGTCACACACGGTGGCCTAGAGTGAGCAGAGACCAGGGGCTAGAGTGAGGAACTTTCTTTGCGTGAACATTTGGGCGGCGTTATGCAAATCTTCCCATATCGTGACGTAGACATGTGGGGGCGTGTTAGAACGAGCCGTTTTAGGTAGGCGTGGCTGACTCTTAACTTTTATAAAGAATATCTCTTTGGATTTGAGACTTTAGTCTTTGCAACTTTACAGATCTTCTTTATGCACCAAGAGCTTGTAACACTCCAAAGAAAAAGGAAAAGTTGAAATCGCATCATATGACACCTTTAAACCTGCTTCTATCTGTGTGCTTAATTAAAGGGATAGTTCCCAAAAATGAAAATTAGCCTATTATTTACTCACCCACCATCCTAGGTGTATATGACTTCCTTCTTTCAGATGAATCCAATCGGAGTTATATTATAAATTGTCTTTAATCTTCCAAGCTGTTTAATGGCAGTCATTTCAGTTACAGTTCATCGGTCCAAAAGAAATGAAATAAAGCGCGTCCATTCATAATAAAAAAGTGCCTCACATGGCTCCGGGGGGTGAACAAAGGCTGTGTTGTAGCGCTCCTGTAGTGAATCGATGCGTTTTTGTAAGAAAAATATCCATATTCAAAACGTAATAATCAATTTGACCAAGCTTTAATGTTGTAAAGCAGATTTTGAGCTGATCTCCTTCATTCTGCCACCAGCTCACCACAACCCCTGGGTGCACCAGCTGTGGAAATTACGGGCCAAACTTTGGGTGAGGACCTTTCTCCCACTTTCCACCACCAAACCTCTTCCTACATGTAAACATGGTTTAGCACACTGTTGTCTATATTTGAATGGTTAATTTTTAGGCTGCAACCATTGATTATTTTAATAATCAAATAATGTTTTAGATTAATTTGATAAAATGCCACATTTTATTTTTTTTATATATTAAAAAGGCAAGTTATTCCACACCATTTCCAGTCGTCTTCAAAGAATGCAAATTGAAGAACAAATTGTTTAGAATGTAGGATATGCAATACACCATGAAAAAAATAATTATAAATTATAAAATAAAGTTTGTCCAGAGTTGAAAAGAAGCCAGTTTAACCCAATTAATTATAAAAAAATTAAAAGTAAAGAAAAACAAAAGGACAAACTGTTATGACTCATAGGTAGGCTATGTTCACACACTCACTGTTTGGGAGTAACAACCGCATTTACTTACAGATGTGAGTCTCAATGTTCTCTACACGCAACTGCTTACAATAGTGTTTCGAATGCTGTCTGTATGAACAAGTAACTGAAGTCAAGCAGTGTTCTATTTGTGATTATTTCTTCTAATTAAAGCAAAGTAGTATAGTAAAGTATTATCAAAGATCCATACAACTAAAAGTCTTATCACAATTAACACGACAAGAGTCCAGTCGAGGCATGACTTCATCTGTTAAATCTGAACCAGCAGCAGCTTTTATAACTGGAGTAGATAGGATTATTTGAGTCACACACAGAGCACAAAACTTGAAAGAAGCAGAGAAAGTGCTTCAATAAACAAATATTGTTTGTGGTTTGCCCTGACAGATGCTTCGACAGATGTGTGTGGACTTGAGTCATGTTTCTCCAGAGCACAACTTACATTTGATGGTTGTGTCCTTGTCTAATTTTGGAAATA